AAACAACAAACCACGAAAACCGAGAAGATGCGGTTATGCAGTAATGATGGAAAGAAGAACCCAGAAGGGTTCGGCGTCTCGAAGAGACGTTGTCGAAGAGGAATAAAAATTAAATTTGGATTGAGTTTAAAAATTCATCTTTATTAAATTCATCTCTTCCAATCAATTTATTTATTCTATTAAATTCTTTTATTTTTGCTTCACTCAGTTTAAGGATTGAACGGTAAGTTTCTAATTTTTCGATTATTTCTTTCCTCTCTTTATCGTTTTCAATTACTTTAGTTTTATGGGCATCAGCCCCGCCGCATTGCAGCTTCTTTTTGTAATAGCATATTTTTGATTTAATTCTGTTTAGTTTCTTTTTATATTCATCGTCTGGACTCTGAATCTTAATTGAATCAGGACTCTTAGATGCTTCGTTGTCACTCATTTCTTACGAATTAAAAAAATTAAATATTATTTAAATATAATGGAGTAATAAAATAAATCGGAATTTCTATTAATTTATTGTTAACCTCAACTAATGCATTGCCGTTAATATATCTAATAAATTCAGCTATTGTGTCAAATCTTCGTCTTCTTTTTGTCATTGATTTATCAGTTTTTCCATAATCGAGATGAATCAAAACTTTATCCCCTTGTTTAAAATTCATGAGCCCCGAATTAATTTGTTCACGTTTTAACATCATTTAACCTTTCCATTTGCTTTCTAATATATTCCCATTCTTTTGAAATATCATTTTCATTTCCACTGGTTTCATGTTTATAGTTCTATGCCATGTATTATTGTAATAATATACTAACTGCTGTATGATGGAGTCATGATTTCCATCCCATCCGACCGTTAACCCCTAACGCATCTCTAAGAGTTCTCATTACCGCATCAACTATTTTATTATGAAACGTATATGGAGAGGATGAAAAGAAAAAATTAATTTGTGGGAAATAATGAGCCATAGCTGCCTGAAATCCTTTATCACCATCACCCCTGATATTATCTACTCTTTCATGATCTAGTAAGTATTGAATAGCTCTTCTTGTTTCCTGTTCTGTTTTCCCTTTCACTGGAATGCAATATAAATATCTAGTGTTAATGTTAATGGCAAATAAATAAGTAACGTTTCCTTTTGAATATTCTAAATGATCGATTTCGTATGAATATGGATATGGTGCAAATGAAGGGCGACTAAATTTTTCCTTTAACGGTTGAATTTTCGGGTCAATTGGTTTATTTAATATCTTGAAATCCTTTTTAAAATCTTTTTGCTTCTTTAATGTTTGAAATGGATATAATAAAGTGAATGATGAAGGATTAACTGAAGGAGGAGGAGGTACTCGTTGGAGGTTTTGGTGTTGCAAGTGGTTTAATTTTATCTGCTTTGATTTTGGATGATGAAGTTTTGTTTCATTCCTTCATTAATTCTGGATGTATTCTATTCATTTGTTTTAAATATGCTGTATATAAAGGTTTGATATACTTTCCCGCTTCGAGTTTATGTTGAAGGATGAATTCCAAAAGTTGATCTTCATTTAAAAGTCGGGCTGAATATGTTTAACTAATGAATCATAAATTAAAGCTTGTGCATCATTTATGGTCTGAAGGACCTGGGTGTTTTGCACCTTTTGTTTTTGTTCCTTTGGCTTTTGCGGCTCAGGATTATATAATTTATATAATTCATCAATATCTTCTTCTGTTAATACTTTATTTTTGAAATCTTTCAACTGTTTAAGTTGTGATTTAGTTTTTCCCTTTGTATATTCATTATTTTTAATTTTGTCTTTAATTTTAGAAATTATTTTATCATGATATTTCAAAATTTCATTTTTATAATATGGATAATAATAATCCATATCATCACCCTTTATTATGTTTTTGGAGATATGATTTTAATTCATAATAATTAAGAAAATTTTGATTAAGTACTAAATCATAAATTAAATTTTTTAAATCTGTGTTATCCATTTATATAAAAATAAAATAAATGTTTTAAGGGTGCCCACCTCTTTGAATCATAGTATCAAAACCATTATTTACATATTGAATCGCATCATTAACGGTTCCTTTTGTCTCTTCTGTGGCATTTTATTAAAAATAAAATTTTAAATTGTATTAAATAAATGGCATACAACATCCATTTTCACAACATACAGCCTTAGTGTGTGCTCCTGTTAATGCAGTCTTACCGATTGTTAAGCGAGTCATTGACCCGTTTTTAAGTTGTAAATTAATATTCTGACCATCAAATATCACTTTATCATTTATTATATCCAAATAATTTTTAGGTGTTAATTGTTTATTTTGTCGTAAACTAACACCTTTCATTTTTTGTGCAATCTTTTTAAAATCACTTCCATCAATTGAACCGTTGAATGATGTATAACACTTAGGGCATAAAGCAACCATGTTATCACCTTGTTTCTCAATTGCTAAACCCAATAACTTCTTCTCATGTGCTTTTTCTTCAGCTTTATTCTTTAATTTAGGTTTAAATTTCTCATCAAAACAGAAGAAATCAAATGGTGCGAATTTGAAAATGTTTTTATCATAAAATTGTTTATCGGTAACAATTGCTTGAAATGCTTGAGTGTTAGGAAGATTTGGGTCGCCAGCGATTGCCCAATAAGATGAATCAGTATCACCTTCAATGAAATGAAAACGATTAACATTCATGCATTTATACATAAAATCATAAATGAAAACCAAATACCAGTATTTAGCATTATCTAAAGTGAAGAATGCCTCTTGTAAACATGTATCACATCTATAAAATCTATCTTTAAGCATCACTTGATATGTATCTTCACCTATTTCTCTTATGTTTTTAAACTTATTTGACATACATGCAACGCGTGCCTTCTGTGCATTCATTATTTTAGTCTTTGCGTAATTTTGTGTATTCATTGCATCGTAACCATATGATCCATTAAGTGAAATCTTGCAAAATAAACTTTTTCCTTTATTTCCTTCTAATTCAGCCTTTTGTCTTTCGTTCATAAATTCGTTCGCAAATTCATTAAAACAAGTGTTTTTAGTAAATGTTAAAATTGATTGAATATCATCGATGATAAAATGAAATCTGTCTATTAGATACCAAAGATAATAAGAAGAAAATGGTTGATATTGGTTGTGTGTTGATGCTAACTGAGTTAATTTCCTCTGTTTCTGGTCAACTGGTAGATTGTTTGATTTCATGTAATTATACATAAAACTGCCAATTGTTTTTTCATCTGTGATAATATCTAAGTTTCTTATTATCGGTAAAAAGTTTATGTAATCATTAATGTATTTTTCATCAATGTGACCCTTTACTTCAGCCACGAATAAAGTATTTTTCTTCTTAATTATTCCCAGTGCTTTTGCTTTCTTTGTTGCTGTATCACAAATGATAACACCATTCAATCTTCCCGGCATATACATTTTATGGTCAGTATATTGAATGAAATCATGAGGATTAGATGAAAATGATGAAGGATATAATGAATTAAAATCAACACCAACGAAATGAGTCATAATGTTGGTGGTGTCCTCATTTGATACAGTTTTAGTTTCTGGATTATATGAAAGTTTATTAATGTGCGTGATTCCTTTAAGATTTACTCTATGTTGAACATTTGATAGACCACCAGTAATTCCATTACGGAGAATGTGATAAGCTTCAACTGAATCTAAAGTCATTGGTAAATTATTTTTTAATGCATAATTTCTTAAATTGATTCTTAAACGTTGAACATCTTCATCTTTATTTGATTTTACGACATTGCAATAACAACACATTAACTGACAATTTTCTTTAGTATGTGGTTTTTCATTATCGATTCTATCAATGTTGGTTTATTTGCATATGTAAACGCTTTACCACACATTTTGCATTTAGATGAAAGGATTAAATCGTGATAGTATTGAAAATCATCCATTGAAACATTATTTTTAGTATCCCTTTCTGCTTTTTCATCTTGTTTCTTATATGATTCAATTTTATATTTCCAATACTTTTTCGTTAATTCAAAACTTGATTCTATCTCTTCCTCAGGATATTTTTCATTAGGATTAAAGTCTTTATATGCTAAAGCGTAACGAATCATTGAAGCATTCGATGATAAAGAAAGATTATGAAGCATATCAATTTTATAAACAAATGTTTCTTCAATAATTTTATCGATTGGGTCAATCATAATTTCAACATCTTTATTGCAATAATGAATAAAATATTCTAATCTATTCTTAAAATTTTTAGCATCATTGAGATATATTTGATAATCACTATCTGATATAGTTTCTTGAGTTAATGCTGAATAAAATGAATCTTTCGTGAATGGTTCCTCTTTATATAATTCTTCTTCGTAATTCCCATGTGATGAATTGATAAGGGAAAAAGGATTTAACACGTGATTTATTGTTTCCGAAATCTTGAGTGAATTGGTCTAATGTCCCACCCGCTATATAATTTCTGATGTCAATAAATCTCAATTCATATGGAACGTTTGTTTTCTTTACAATGATTTGCTTAAATTGTGAAGATGAACCCAGCATTGATTTTATTTTCCATTTTGCAGTGTTTAAATCACGCAGAATTAAATTTAAATCAAACTTTCCCAAATTAAAACCTATGATATTCACTTTATTGAATTCCTCATCTAGAAGTTCTTTAAATGCTTCCTTCTGTTTTTCATTTAATGTATGAGATAAAGTCCCCACCGTTTGCGGCTTCAATAATTCTTCATATTGTTCAATATTTGATTTAGCAACTAATGAACAGGTTGAAAATAAAAACTCAATCCAATCAGAAATAAAAGAATCACTTGAAGTTAAGCAAAAATTCCTCGTATATGTTTTATCGTTTAATTTAACCGTTGATGATACCATGAATGGTTTTAAGTAAGCGTTCAAAGTTGCACACTCAGAAAGTTGTAATTCTTCTTTAGTCTCTAATGTTTCGAAGTCAAAAGTAATATAATATCTTGTCGGTTTATAATATTCCTGCAAATTATGAGCTAATAACCACTGATATATCTTCTGTTTCGTAATATGTGGTGCATATGGTTGCTGTGTCTTTTGCAACTGAACGTCTTGAATTAATCTCCCATTATTTTCTTTACATTTCTCACAATGCTTTAAAAATCTTCTTTGGTTTTTCCTTTCTGGATCATCACGGATAGAATAAACTTCTTCTTTACAATATGGACAAACTTTATAGCCGGTGAGTGCTTCAACGTCTGTTATTCTGTCAGCGTGAAGTTTTCCACATGGACTCTGTGTTAATAAAATATTTACTGTTTCAAATTCTGGATCTATCATTATTGATTCCACTAATGGAAAGTCTACCTTATTTATGTCCACGTCTTCTGGTTGAGGATCACAATAATAGAAATCAATATTAACATTTAACATTCTCGCTAATCTCTCACTTTCTGATGAAATGTCAAACCCTTCATATGCATCTATTGCTTCATTTAAATAGCTTCTACGAGTTTTAGGATTAACACCATCAGGAATGTTATAGAAGCGTTTAAATAACCTTCTACCTTCTGCTCTAATTTGATTATCATTCATTTTAGCTGTTCCGTTTTTGTTCATTTATGTAAGAATAAAAAATTAAAAAATAAATAAAAATAAAGTTTATTTTTTAAAGCCCATAAAATGAATTAAGAACACATAAATTTTTATCATCTGCGACGTGACGAATACATTTTAATTTACTCAAGAATGCGTACCCTGATACATTAAATCTAATTCCTGTCTTATTTAATTTCACAACTTTGAAAAGGAATGTATGAATAGCTATAAAATGATGAGAAGATGTTTTATGGGTTGCTTCCATTTTTTCTGAAATAAATGAATAAATATAATGCTTATAGTTTTCATATCTTTTATTTCTTAATAACGAATGGTATAGACCTTTCAACTTCGTCTTCCTTCGGTGCTGTTCTTTCATATGAAACATTATTAGTATCTTCAATAATGAAACCGCAATCACACAAAATTTTATAGGTTCCAATGGTTTCTTTTGATATTTTATCTAATAAATCAAAAACTTTATCAACACCTGTGCATTTATTTAAATAATAATTTGTGTAAATATCATGATCTTCTTTCTTAATCGTATTAGTTGCATATGTCACGTTTTTAAGAGCTTTTTTGAATTTTTGGAATCTAAAGGTGGTGAAAGTAGGATACAGGGGTATTCTTCATTATCAATAAATTGTAACTTATGTTTACGAATAAATTTAGTACCTTCTTCTGAAAGTGTTTCGTCTATTTCACCATCTAATAAATTTTGTGTTGATTCTGAGACATAATTTTTATATCTTTCTTCATGAGATTTCTGAACTTCTGATTCTGAAGCTGGGATATTCATTAAACCCTCTACTTCATTTTCATTATATTTTTCAACTTCTCTTAATTCCTTAATTTTTTCATCTATTTCATCTCTTATTTTTTCAGTCTTTCAATTTCATTGTATTCATCATCTTTAATCCGTTCTTCATAATATTCAGGGAAAACATCAGGTTCTTTAGGTTTTTCTTCTTCAGATGTATGATATAAGAAATTTATAACATCATCTTTATTCATTTTTCCATCATAATCTAAATCATTTAATAACTCCAATTTTTGACAATTTCTTAAATAATATTTATTAACTTCATAACCACCTCCTCTAATATATCCTTTAGTTCCCCGTTTGTGAATCCTAATTTTTTAACGTTGTTAGTTTTGACGCTCATTTCATACAAAATAAAAAAATAAAATAATAAACATAACTAAGTTTTAATTTTTCGTAAGAAGTTTATTTTTATATATAAATCATTCTTAAGGTCAAACAGACTTCTTATTTTTATATGAACACCATCCTCTAAAATTCGATAATCTATTTTATCTGGTTTTCCTTGTTGGGTCATTTATAAAAGATAAAAAAATAAATTATTTTAAAATTAATGTTAATTTTTTTTAATGATTTATAAATAAATATATTTTAATGCATCGTCTATATATAGATGTAACAAAAAAAGTCACTAAACCCTTCATACCCTACTACTACACGTACAATAGATTTCCCAGACATTATAAAAAATGAATAATTCTGAACAACTAAACTTGTGAATTAACAAAATTAAAACATAAATATTAAATATTTGATGAATGTATCATTGAATTTCACTGAAAGTTTTACCCCCATCCTTTTTATTACTTTTGCAATGAGTCAAAAAACTCATTGTCTAAGTCAAATTAATTGCATTCGAGAAGTATTCCCATAGCGATGCTAATCAAGATAGTGTTTGGAACCTTTATTATGAAGGAATTAGTCCTCCTTCCGAAGTTTTTACCGGTGAAGTTGAAAAAGTCACAGCAGCATCTAGCAAATGCTTTGCATACATCTGCAAGTTTATCAATCTTCAAGATAGAGCAGTTAATTTCACAAATACAGTTGGCTACTCGATTTTACTTTGCGAAAACGTTTTTTCAAAAGGTCCAGGTACAGTTTATATTCAAAGTTATAGTAAAAATAACATTATTATTGATAAATTCTGTTCATTTGAAAGTCAAACTCCTACAGATGGCCAATTTACTTATTTATATGGCGAAATTAACAGTACACTCCTCCAAGGATCAATTTGTAATGGAGGAAATAGTTCAGTAAATTATATGAATTACCAGCAAGATGGTTTTGCATCACTTTCAAAAACAAACATTTCTAACTGTATTTCATCAATAGATCCAGGTTTTGATTATGAAGAAGTTGAATCAACAGTAAATGTTTCATTTTGTAATTTTGAGAATTTAAAAGCAGCTTTCTGGATTATTACTTCGTTTTCTTGTCAAGGAAGAATTGACCGATGTAATTATATAAATAATTCTCAAGAGAAAAATTCTGGATTAGTTTATGTTTATATGAATAGACTTGATATTTTCAATTCATCTTTCCAAAACAATCGACCGAATAACAACGGATTTTTATTTTATGGAAATTATGGCGGAAAGATTTATATACATCAATGTAGTATTGATGATTTATCAACTGATGGAACAGTTGATGTATCAGATCAAGGAACAGAATCATTTAAAATTAGTTTTTACTACATTGATTTTAGTATATGTGCAAGAGATTTTGAATATGAAGTATTATTTGTACCAAAGAAAGAAAATAAAATTTGTTCTTCTTTTAAATCCATAAATTTTCTTTTTGGTAAATTTCATTTTTCTATTTTGTTATTGATTAAACGATAAAAATTTCACTTACACATATAGTTCTCTCAAGTGTGCACTTTCCACTTCCTGACATGCTAACAATATGCAAAATACAAGTTTGATGAGACACAGAAATTATAATCTTTGTTCATATGAGGAAAGCACCTAAATTTCTTTAAATTTCCTCATATATTATGGCTTAAATGTGACTTCTCATAGATACATGAATAGTAATCCTTGAACTGTTTAATTTTTTGACCTTTATATCTATATGTTGCATATTTAAACGCCTACTTTTTTTTGACAAATGTAAAGAATCTTTTGACCATTGTCAAAAAAATTTTTTTATGAATGTAAGTCCAAGAATTATTCACCAAGTTTCAGAAGCATTTCCATACATGAGGGTTAAGACAAAACTTAAGAATCCACGATCAACATTAGGTAAATCTATCAAAGAAATATTAAATCGAGCAGGCAAGCGACAAATTTCACATCCAAAGCAAAACCAAACTTACGAAAACGATGATTCTGCATCAGAAAGTCGGCGAAGTAGTACAAGAATTAACGAAATCCTACATTTTCAAAATAACTTTGTTAAAAACAATTCTAATTCAAATTTCATATTAGAAAGTATATCAGAAGAAGTCGAAGATCAATTATTTAATGAATCACCAATTAAAAAATCTATTAATAATAAAATTTCTGAAATAATTCCATCACAAGACCAATTACAGCTTGACGACATTACAGAAGAAAAATCCGAAATAAATACATCAATAATTTCCACAAATACAAAAAATTCATATTCATATCTTGAAGAAGAAGAAAAAGAAGATAATTTCGAGTTTTATCCAGAATATGACTATTACAAACCTCGTCAACCTTACGAAAAACCTAAGAAAGGCTCAAAAAGAGTCAAAAGAAAACCAAATGCTGCATTTATTGAAGAACAACAAGAATTAAACACAGGAATTGATATTGATATTGAATATGAATATTCATATGAAGAAGAAAACAACGAAGAAGTTTTGTTTCTTGGAATTCCAAAAGACGGAGTTTATGCTAGTGATGACGATCATCGTGGCTTTCGTGTTAGTAAATATCCTAAACTGAACAGATACGAAACAGATCCAGATAAATATCAGGTCATTTCGACAATGAATTATCGATCTCGACTTTCAGAGTCAGTTTTGTCTAATGAAACATATCTATTTGAGTTCAACCATATATTCGATAGTGACCCAGATAAAATATCCCCTTTAACTCTTAAAAACGGATCAAGATTTATATTCTCTTCATCAAGTGATGATGAATCCGGACTCAAACAAGACAAATTCAATACACCAAAGAAGTATAATTACAATACACCTAAAATTAGCAAATCAACAACAAAAATTTCACAAAAAGAAAATTATCAACAATCAACTCCAAAAACAACAACAAATAAAGAAACCCATTCAAAAACCTCGCCTTTTAAACGAAAATTCCTCGATAATTCTAGTTCAGATGATGATAATTATAAATCTACTCCCAGAATCAAAAGAGATAATGCCAAATCAGCCTATAATTATAATAATAAGTTCCTTAAAGGAATTGATTAATTGTTTTATTTGTTTATATTTATAAATTGTTATATTATTCATCTAGTTATATTTTTCTTTGAATACAATGCTTGGATTATCTTTATCTTCTCGAGTTAAAAATAAATCATCATCAACAGGATCTGTCGTTATAAAAGTACCTTACAAATAATTTATTTGTTTCATCATTTATGGAGTTTGGAGTTACCCAGAGAAATGTGTTATCATTACATTGAATACGATAATATAATTTGTTATTATCAGCTCGATGAGAAGTAACACGTATACAATAGATTTCCCAGACTTATAAAAAATGAATAATTCTGAACAGCTATACTTTTGATTTAACCAAACTAACAGATAAATAATAAATATTTGATGAATATTCCAGTGAATTTCATTTTTTTATGAAGGAAGTTCACTTTTGGTGTCACCCCCATCCTTTTTATTACTTTTGCAATGAATCTAAAAACTCATTGTTTAAGTGCAATTAATTGTACTCGAGAAGTATCCCCATAGCGATGCTAATCAAGATAGCATTTGGAACATTTACTATGAAGGAATTAGTCCTCCTTCCGAAGTTTTTACCGGTGAAGTTGAAAAAGTCACAGCAACATCTAGCAAATGCTTTGCATACATCTGCAAGTTTATCAATCTTCAAGATAGAGCAGTTAAATTCGAATATACAAAAGATTACTCGATTTTACTTTGCGAAAACGTTTTTTCAGAAGGTCCAGGTACAGTATATATTCAAAGTTCTAGTAAAAATAACATTATTATTGATAAATTCTGTTCATTTGAATGTAAAAC